CCCCCCCCCCCCCCCCCCCCCCCCCCCCCGTTTTTTTTTTTCTCCGTTTTTCTTTTTTTTTTGCTCTCCTTGTTTTCGTTGCCTGGGGTCAGCTTCTTCATGCTGCCGTACGTGAGCGGCCTCCTCTGCATCGCCGACCACTGCGCCATCTACATCCTCATCGCCGGCAGCTACACCCCGTTCATGCTCATCTCGATGCACGGGAGCTCGCTCGGAAGGACGGTCATCATCGCGCAATGGCTGTGTGCTCTCTTCGGCTGCCTCTTCAGCATGACAAGGTGTGTATGTTTTTAATTATTAGCACCGACCGCCCTAACCGGCTGACCATTGAACAGACGTCAGTCTTACTGCCGTTGAAAGGTGTGTGTCTGCTTGTCATCTCACGTTTGTGTGATACCATGGTGTGGAACAAGAACGGTCGCCATGTCATCCCAAGTTGTCCCGGCTCCTTCAGAACACGATTGGCCTAAATTCTCAGGACCGACCGCCTAGGCGAGAAATTGAGCTTTTATGAGGGAGGGGGCTGTTGCAACGCAGACCCTATACCCCTAAACCCTACTTCCCCGTTTGCATCCTTGAAGCGACATGTTTACTTGGTCGAAAAAACCTGCGAAGGGTACCGAGTTCTGCAGGCACAACATGTTGGTCTTTCGCTCTCTGCTTTGCCTGCTCTCTCTCTCTCTCTCTCTCTCTCTCTCTCTCTCGCTCTCGAGTCTCGCGACAAGAGAGAGTGACACACGAGAGCCCCAACATACGGGGTCCCGTGTGTCATCCGACCCACACTGTAGGTGTATTATCCCTTAAGATATCCATTCCACGGTGTCCCGAGTCTCCATAAACATGTGAGTACCATTGACCAAAAAGTCCACAAACCTCTCCAGCAGCGAGTGGCGTTATTTAACTGCTGTGACAAAAGCTATATCTCCCTTGTTTTGACGTTATTTGACTGCTCTCTACTGTGCCCGTCTCTCCGTGACCCGCGCTCACTCAACGTCGTGCAACACCAAAAACAGTTACTCCTTGGACTTCAAGGGAACCATGTACGTGGAGCTCACGTTGTACCTTGGCCTGGGGCTTTCCGTGCTGCTCGTTTGGGACTCGGTTCTCGAGCACATGCACCAGGGGGAGCTCATGCTCATTGCCGGTGAGTTGGAGATCGTGAGGTTCGATGCGCCCTGCCCGACAATCAATATTTGAAGACTATCATCAACAATGAATAAACGAACACCCCCACAATATACTTGTAAACGTTGAGGGTATATTCCATGGTTTCCCCGCAACCCCTCTCCCGTTTTCGTTGTTGTCATCGTCGTCGTCATTGTTGGGCTTTTTGTCGTCTTTGCTGTTGTCATTGTTGTTGCTGATGCTGTTCATGCTATTGTGTTGTTCGTACTTCAAAAGGCTATGGTGGGGCTGCGTGTTGTTGGGTGTGCGTGTGCCTTGTGTAGAGTCGTGGTGCGTGCTCTGTCCGTGTTCAGTGCTATTGTTGTGACGTGTCGTTGTCGTCGTCGGGGGGGTCGTGGTGTCATCGCCGGGGGCTCCGTGGTGTCGTCGTGGATGTTGGAGGTGTAGGTGTTGCTGCTGCGTCGGCGTCTCCCCTGCGGTCATGGTATCGATGGGGCTGTTCAAATTGTGCCTCTGAGAAAGAAGGACCCGGTACCCAACAAAAACCTTTCGCCACCCACCCCTCTGACCCACCTCTCCTTGCACGCATGATTGCACTCGTCGCTGATCATGCAGGGGGAGGGGTGGCGTACGTGGGAGGTGTAATCTTTTTCATTCTTGGGGAGAAGGTGCGTCACAGAGAGAGAGAGAGAGAGAGAGAGAGAGAGAGAGAGAGAGAGAGAGAGAGAGAGAGAGAGAGAGACGACCGAACCAGCTATCTGTTGTAGCGATGGGAATGGGCCTATTTCTTTCTTCATGGTGTGTTGCTGCCGCGGCAACTGTTGCTGTGGTAGTGGTGGTGGTGGTGTTTGGCACCTGCGTCATCCATCTGCAACACAGCTAAACTCCGTTCATCGTGATCCTGCATTTCTTGTTTAGGAATCTCACATACATGCCCTTTCCTAGCCGGACACACACAACCATGCGTACTTAAGTCGGTCAAGGTCCATCATGCTCCGTCCCCCCTGCGCAACACGAAGGCCCACGTATCCCCCCCCGTCCTAGGCCGACGAAAAAGACGGCATATCGCTGCTCCTTCCGGCCATTGTAGGGATGCGAGGTCAATGTCTAGCGACTGCGGCATGCGTTGGCATGAGTGCACCCCCCCCGTTGCGCCGCCTGGCTACTGTACCTAGACCCCCATGGTGTGCGATTGTGGTGCTACATTGCCTCGTGTTTGCAGATACCTGTTTTCCACATCGTGTGTCACGTCGTCGTGATGGTTGCCCACGCATCTCCCCCCCCCTCCCCA